CTTTCTCTCTCTCTCTCACTCTCTTTCTTTTTTCTCACACACTCTCCTTCTCTCTTTCTCTGTTTTCCCTTCTTTTCATGTATTTTTAAACAAAAAACAAATGGGCACACATGTTCTGATTCTTCATGCGAATCTGTTGTAGGTCTTTTTATATTTATTATAAGCATACTTTGCGCCACTTTTTCTTTTCTAAAGACTCTTTGTCTTTTCTTTCAACATTTTAAGAAATTGAAACAGAAATAATCTTTCTACTTAGAAACGTTTACAATTTCTAATTAATCTATAATATCAAGAGAGATGTCGTCGGAGTTTGGGCTAATGACGACAGACACACAAATATCCCCTGACGTAATCCTTACAGATTACAGTAAACAGGATTAATCGATTCTCGGAGGTTCCTGATAACACCAACGATGACTCCGGTTCGGCTGGCTATTTTCTTTAAGACCCCTTCCCTCCCGCCCTCGGCCACACCCACGCACTCTTTTCGTATACCCAATATCTCTTTTTATTCCTGTTATATTTTTTGTATCTCTGTCACCAGTTCTGTTTATGTACGTCTGTCTGTTGATGCCTTCCCTTCTCCCGTTCTTATCTCCCCTTTTCCCTCTCATTCTATCTATTCTTATCCCTTTCTACATTTATGTACACACACTCACACAAACAAACACACACACACACACACACACACACACACACAACCGCCAACCAACCTTAACTCAGTTTTTGAGCAAAACGAGCTGACAATGGGAGGTCACGGCATTGTAACATCACCGCGCAACAAGAGTCTTAAAACGATACTAAATTGTTTGTTTTGGAACGAGATTAACCTTCACGACTGTTTCGTCATTATGGCGACTTCTATAGCCCATGTTTGTTCAAAAGATACAGACACACTCGAATATAGGCCACACCTGAAGCTTCTACGTTATTCCGAGAAATGTTGTCAGTTCTTAGATTAGACTTACATTTTTTCCTGTAGCCTAATAAAGGGTCACTAGACTCTTTTAATTTGTTTCACTCGTATTTGGGTGTTGTGTGCTAGCATACACACACACACACACACACACACACACACACACACACACACACATACACACACACACACTCATTCACGCACATACACACACAAACACACAGACATACACAGACATACACATACTCATGAATTCAACGAGAACAACAACAAAAACAACAACAACAGCAACAACAACAAAGCTGATAACAGAAATAAAAGAAAAGAGAGAAAAGCAGGTAAGAAACCAGATGACAATCAAACAAAACCGACAAAAGTAACTGTGCAGTGGTGTGCGACTGGCTATTTCATCACGTTATTCGCCAAAAAGGTTTTTCAAAATCTATCAGTCACTCACTCACAACGAATGCTCCCATTATATACACACATGGATCTAATTCCATGCTCACTCACACAAACACAAACACACACACGCAAGTACAGACACACACCCAACCCCCACACGAACACACACACACACACAAAAACACACACACACACACACACATACACACACACCCGTACGTACGTACATGGACGCATATTATGGTACATGTAAACTTGTCAATATCGGAAATGGGACAAATCTACCAGAACAAAACGAAAATAAAGTAAATACATATTTAGTTTAATGAATAATAATGTTATGGAATGGATATGGTACAAATAATATTTTCAAGATGTTGAATATACGAATTTAATTTAAATGGTGTAATTGGAAAATTGGAAAAAAGGGGGGGGGGGTAGCAATAGAAATCTTTATTGCAGATAAAGTTTCTTTTTGGAAGGTAAGAATAAATAATCTTTATTTACAAAGTCCATGTACATTTTTTGAGACTGTCTTTCCAAAGACAACCTTTCAAAAAATTCCGGACACGTCAAAGGAATAGTTTAGCTCATTCAATGCAGACGACAAGGATTCTAACAAATCAGGCCACCACCCATGTTATGATGGACGAGTATACCCACATTTTGTTTTTATTTTTCTTTAAAATGATAACTTAGTCCAAACCTTACTGCAAGACCTGAGTGTTATGTATTACGGGATAGGCCATGAAGACGATAGCCTTCTAGAATACGAGGTGGATTTTGTCCTTTTTTCCGAGAAAGAAGACGATTGTAGTGATACTAGTTCTGTACGTAATAGATGACGGCAAAAAGTGAATGTAAACAACTGCGTGAGAAAACTAAACAAACACATTCGTATCTAATGGAACAGCAGGAGCAATTCCAGACAGGTATACCCGTCCTTCACAACATACAGGTGTTTTTTTTTCACAAGAGCTCAAAATACTTTCATGGGTAGGAAGAATGATTTATAATTTATGCATAATATCATAATAGTCATAATAATAAAATATTATTATCTGCACAATATGAACACGGTGATAATTTTGGATAACTGTTCATCACTGAGCTTACGTAAGAGCTTGGTGATCTCACTAAGCCTGGTGTTTGTTGTTTCTGTTTTAGACGTGTATTTGGTGTCGGCTGCTAGATAGCAAAAGCATGCAAACGACAACAATACACACACACA